CGCTTTTTAATTTTGTTGTCCTTTGTTTCCAAGACATTATATCAACATAACTAAAATCAAAGGAGGATAAAAATGGAACTTCAATAAACATTTGAAAAGGTAGCTATTTCAAAAGTCTCAATCCAGCAAAATACCAAGTGACATTAACAATAAACCGAAATATTGTCTACAAAAGTTATGATGAACCACTCATGTCATCGGCATTCTCCACAAAACTATTTAAGTTCCTTGAATCATCAAAGTCTTTAGAGGCATTTGACAGGAAACTAATGCCTTCTAGATCCTGAGTGTCAAGCATGAACAGAAGTGACGAGTCATTCCGCACTTGTGCCCAGTCAGGCCTGATAGACTCATCCCGGCATTGTTCTGCACCACTGATATCAACAGGAAGTTTGCTTGTGTCAATGTCACCAAAAACTTCAGCAAATACATGCATTACTGCAATTGCATGTTGTTTCCTCCAGATCTCCACAACATCCATCACATCCCTGAGGCTAAACAAAACATAACAATTGCGAACAATTTGCTTGATATGAAATGAATTAAATTCAAGTAACATATTAGGGCAGGAGACCATTGTCTGTACTTGCACTTGCTTTGACAAATTCAATTGCAGTTCTAGTAATTTCCTTTCTCAAAGCCTCTTGTCCTTGCTAGACACTGTACGTGTCCTTGTGACAGAATCACTTTCTCTGTCTGAATGAGCAATACATATCTCTGGATGCATGTCCGAGTCTCTGCTAGGACTCCACAAATCAGGGCACTCCTCGGATCCACACTCACAATCTGTAGCGCAAATGTCACAACAAGAATGTGCATGATCGCCACTTTGCAATTCATTGCTGAAACCAAAATGGCTCATCAACCATTTCCGACGACACTCACCACTGCTGAGATATTCTTTCATGTCCTTCTCACTATGAGTTGATAGAAGACCATTGTATAGAAGAATACAAGTGCTTGGCAGCCCATCTCTGCCAGCCCTGCCACATTCCTGAACATACATTTCTACAGATTTTGAGGGCCCAAAATGTATGATCCTCCTAACTCTCTTACAGTTTACACCCATCCCAAATGCAATGGTTGAAATTAACAGTCTTAAATGACCATCCTCATTAGCCATGTTCTCCACAATGTGGTCCTTAACACGGCTTGGTGTGCCTGCATGATACATTTTAACAATCTGATTTTGAGGTTTGGTTTCCCCGTGGTAAATATTCTTACCTAGGAAAACCTCAAAAACACGAAATAAAATCTGGCATTGCTTTCTTGTCTGGCAATAGAGTATGGTTCTTTGGGTCTTTGCACCTTGGCTTTTCAAATCTGTGATGAGGGCAGAAAATGCAGTTTGAAGTGTCTCGTTTTTGTCCAAATACTGCACACTGTATTTTAGATTGGGTCTGTTTGGACTTTGTTCAACAAACTTTACGTCATCTTCTCCCAGTTGCAGTGAAGTTAAAATCTCCCTCTTCGTTGCCTTTGTTGCAGTTGCAGTTAGAATTATTAACCGGCTTGTTGAAGGAGCCAGTGACCTTAGCTCCCCTAGGCAACCATACCACTTCCTGAAAGGTACCTTCTTGGATCCAGACAGGCCCCTGTACAGAGATTGTAGATTAGATACTGGTATATAAATGGATGATGTTCTAATTTTTACAAGTATTGACTTTAACAGTGACTCATTGCATTATGCATGTATACAAAACTTTAAAATACAACAAGGATGAACAATAACCCTTAAATGAAAGAAAGGTAATATTAAAACACGACTGATTATTACTGCCTCCTCTGTCTAAAACTGTATGTAAATTTTCATGCCAATTCATATAAAATTCCACACTTTTTTAAGGCCTTAAACCGACCCGACCGACCATGAGAAGTTTATTTTGACTCGTACCTAAGTGATAGTAAACAAGTTGTTCGAATGGATGTTACATTTCGGTGAATCACACCGTACAAACTTGTCTTACCATGTTTGAAAATCGTTATTTGCCAATTTGAATATCGTTGAATAAAAGAGAAATAAGAGAATAAGACACATACCATTGGGCTATACAGTGTGTTCGTCGATAGCCACTCCGATCAACATTTCTACAAATGTGTTACAACTGAAAATACTTCTCCAAGTCGCGTACACGACAATGTAGTTGCCATTAATTACTTGTTGGACAATATCTGGGTCTTCTTCGTCGGTAATAGCGATTGCTGGCACTCCAGTGTTGTTCAGAAAGAGAACTTGGTCCTCCATTAAGGATCGTAAAGGCGAAATCACGACTACAAGACTAGAGCCGCGAGGTTTATTGAGCCGAGCATCTGCAGCGATTGGGAGACACTGGAAAATCAAGGATTTTCCGTAACCGGTCGGCAAATTTACAAACACATTCCGGCCTTCAAGGAATTCTTTCAAAGAATTTTCCTGCTCAGGGAGAAGGCTTTCAAGTTCGAACTGTTCTTTCACTGCTTTGAACGCTTTTTGCCAACTTTCTTCTTTAAATTTTGACAT